AGATCTGAGCTCCATGGTGCTGGGGAGTCTTTTCCTCCGCTGGGCAGTGTTGCACTGTCCACACCTAGACCAGGGCCTGGCACATAATAGGTGCTCAGCAAATATTCACTGGATGAGCTAGCGACTGCTAGGAGGAAAAAAAGTATCTCATTCTATTTCATGTTCCTTTGATTATTAGCAGGGTAGTATTTCATATAATTTTTGGCCATTTATGTTATTTCTGTGACCTTTTTATTCATGTTCACCAACCGCTTTGTGTCAGGCTTTGGGGCAAATTTGGCTTTGGCAGGTAGAGTTCAGGGTGCTAGTGGGACAGCCAGATAGACTTAACTATGAGTTCCAGACCCTGTTAGTTTGGAAGTCATCCCAGAAGCAGTGGGTGGTCTTGAGGGCTCCTGTGCACTGCGCCAGGCATCTGTGGCCTCACGGAAGGCGGCGCTGTCTTCCCTGAGGCACACCTCAGGTGGCTCGGTTTCTCAGCATTCGGCCCGCACTTTGTAAGCCCGATGTTTTTGTTTGTTTCTCAGGCATACGGTGAGGGCTCTGGTGCCGACTGTAGACGCCACGTCCAGAAACTAAATCTGCTGCAGGGACAGGTGTCAGAGCTGTCGCTCAGGTATGGTGGTTTAAGAGGAACGTGGCTACCTTGCCCGGTTTTTATCCTCACTGGAAAGGGGAGGTCTATACCGGGGACGTCCCCTAGACCTCATGTCCTGAGTGCAGCAGTCAGACGTCTGGGTAGTCCTCCCCGAACATAACTGAAAACGCTGGCTATGGTTTTATATTTTACTTATTTTTAGATGAGAAAATCGAGTTTACGTCGAAAGTAAAATAGAGAAAGAGGAGGTTCACCTCCCCAAGAGAAGGGAGGGGGCTAAAGCCAGGAAACAGGGCCTGGCTGTAGCTGAGAGAGCACGTGGCCACACCACAGCTTAGCAAAGCAATGGCGGCCGTGATTGTAACACTGGTGAGCTGGCACGAAGGCTGCCCTCAGAGGCCGGGAGTGAAGTGAAAGCCTTGGGCCGGAGGGGAAGCACCAAGCCGCTGGGGGTGGAGGCAGCGGGGGAGGGCCGCAGAGGATCTCCAGGGGAAGCTGTGTCCCCAGGGGACTGCACCCTCCAAGTACTGATGAGCTGGGAGAGAACCAGACCCACTCTGCTACACAGGCAGCTTGCCTATGTCGACCTTGACAGTGGCTGGAAGGGGGAAATCACTCTCCAAGACTTAGAGGCACGAGGAAGCTGCCAGCATGCTATTTCAGCTTTTTTTTTTTTTTTTTGAGTTGGAGTCTCACTCTGTCACCCAGACTGGAGTACAGTG